GAAAGGGCGTACGATCCGATGAACTGGACACCGGCTCCCAATGGATTGCGGTTTTCGCACACCACATCACTGACTTGCGGGTCAGGATTTGGCCAGCCGAAGGCTCTGGTTGTGGATTCCTCAAGAAATTTCACCTGCTTTGGCCTGGGCAACCTAGCAGTATTCAGCACACTTGCAAATCGTGGAGCGTTTTCTTCTTTATAAAGATTATTGAATCACGATTTGTTTGGCACACAGTCTGTCCTCAGACAAGTGTGGAATATATAATATATATACTTTCTTCATCCCATACCTCATTAGTACACTAGATTCAGAGGTTTTTGAGGCAACTCTTTTGCCCTTCTGATGGTCACATTCAAATGCAGTATGTTGTTCCACTCCGGCACAAATGTTACTTGGTTGAAAGTAGCCTTTGTTTTCGCCTTTCTAGGTAACTTGTCAAGCAACTCTTGCGGTTTTTTAATCCGTATCCAGCGGGATTTGCAAAAAAAGCTAAACATTGTGGAGTTTTAGACCGGTTCAACCCAGGATAGTCATCCTCGAGTCCTGAAGGGCTAACACTTGCACAAGCTAGCTAAACATAAATCATAATCAACTTCGCAAAATGAGGCACTCAATGAATGTAAAAAGACCTTGCGTTGCGGTGAACAATGTTTACCGCTAACATTGAACTCACCGGATAATGTTGAAACGGACGTTTATTTGCTCATGTGGCAGCCGTTTCTCCTGGGCTCACGGTAGCTTCATTAGCACTTCGCACACATCAAATTTTTTTCCTGAAATACAACGACTTTTACGCAATGACAGCCAGAACTGCCCATACATTCTATGCCAGGATGGTTTAGGTTCTCCTCATTTCAAAAATGAGGAATCTAGGTGGAACGGTTGCGGATGCGCAAACATATGAGTATTGTTGATAGCATTTCCCAAACTGATGTCAACTTACAATAAACGTGCCATACTGCCACGAGGTAACGGACGACTGTCTCCACTCGTGTTAGGTGGCGACTCAGACCAATAAGCAGAAGAATCGGGTACACTGTGAGACTGAACAGAGTCATTATCGTCATCATCATCTTCATCCCCATCCTGGTCATCCAATTCGCTATCCTGGTCATCCGCGTCCCGATCAGGGTCCAACATTTGCGATCCCACCTGGGAATGTCCATCGACAGGTTCCCCCAGAGAACTTGAAGGCTTCTTTGAAGCTGATGGCTCTGTGGAATCATCTACGGTTGAGCTGGGGCTGACGGATGCATCTCGTTGAGCACAATTTTGGCGTTTTCTAGGTCGTGCTGTGGCCTCCACTTCTTCCAATCGACCGATTGTGGGAAGTTCACCATTGTGGCGTTGAAGGATGATACGGCGAAGCATGCAACGCAATACGCGTATGGTAAGTTGCTCTAGAGTTGGGATTTTTGTCATCGGAGCTAAACCGAAGTGAAAAAAGATAACTATTAGGAAAGAAAAACAATTCATACAATAATCCCCTCAAACGTCGATCACTATGATCAGTGATGATTGGTTAGTTTCGTGGTTAGAATGGGTGTGCTATAGCCCATTGTAGTATGAAAACAAGAGTATCCTTTGCCTGGATTATACTCAACCGTCACGTATGAGTGAGCATTGCAGTTTAATTGGAAATGAAACACACTTATTGAGGAAACAATAACACAACAGTAATAGAATAGCTATCACGTGACTCCCGTGTCCCTCAATGGAACACAGAGATTATCGAGGAACAAACAGAAATAAAATCTGCACGTAGTCAGACTGCATTAAACCAACAGCTTCCGCATTCCCAATTAGGAATTCCGCGTTACCAAGGCCTTGTGGTAATTTGAGGGAAGAATGACCGGTCGCGTCAGAGATCAAAAGAGTTGTCAGTACAGAGGGGGGAACCTTTGCCCCTGAACGAAAGCTATCGACTGAGGACAGTGACAGTATTAATATTACTATGCATCTGATGAATGCACACTAGGCATCGCCAAGAATTTGGTCAAGTATCACAGGAAAATAAATCACTGCTAACCAAAACACATAGGTGCGTTCGTTCCATTCAATGGAGATCGCCACATGCCAATTGATCGGGACATGTGATTTTGTTATCCTCAATTGGAATGAACTAAAACTCGGATATCTAATAAAAGTGGTGAAATATATCTTTCGATTTTCAAACAAAAAATTGAGTACATGTGTACTACAGTGTTGTGCGTTAAAACAATGTCAGCTGCGAGATGATATATACATATTAATTTTCACATAGACGGAGCCAAAGTAACCAGGTGTTATAAAGAACGGAACCAAACAATAAGCAGTCATTTTTGTTTAGTTACTACAAGCAATTCGGAATTTTTCTTATCTTTTTTAGTTTTCGGGTTTCAACTATGTGAAAACGCATTCGGACAACGGACTTCGATTCAGTAAAATTTCCGGTAAGATCCCCAATCAAAAATAATCTGAGTCTTTAAGACCCCAGCATGGAAGCCGGTTTTCCCCAACGGAAACAGGATCCGAATGCAGTTTCATCAACCTTCGACGTTAAGTCATAGTTTGCGCATATTGCTGTCTTCCAGACTGATCCCATGTAAGGCAGGTTGGGGCAAACATCGTCAAGGCAGTCACAGGACGCGCCCGTCACCTCAGTTGGTGTAGTGAAATGGTTTTGCTCAACAGAAGACTAGACTACTACTAGACTACATGTCGTATGAACCCATCGTAAATCAAGTGATGCTCCCATTATAAGCGGGAGATGATACACCATTGGATACGATCTAATTGGAATACGATAGACTACCAGTTTCAATATCGTGGGAAGACAGCTTTGCTGTCGTCCGGTTCAATACCACGCCTAACCTAGCGGGGCCTTACGCGGTTCGCTACTCCAAGTCCCGGGGCTTAGGTCACCGGTTTCCATGACCGAGCAGCAGGTCTTCGTGACTATGGGGTTCGCCCCGTTTGCTGTTCACTACACAAAGGTGTAATGAAAATAAGAAAATCTATCCACGCGGATGGCTACAACTCAGCTCCCTCTGCTCGACTGATAACTTACATGAAACACGTTCACTATTTCAAGATGCAAATTATTCGAACAAAGATTTTAAAGATGATTCTAATTTTCTTCAGTATTGACCTCAAACGCTTTTGATCCATTCGGGCGAAATTGTGCGTTCATGCTATGCTGTACACAAAACTGATTGATCTATCTTATGACTACAAACGCTGCCCACTAAGTACCACAGACCAGTTTTGTTTTCCCCGTTACACTAAACAAAATTGTCATTGGAGTTTGGTGAACGGGTTCTGTTAGGTAGTCTACTCACTGAGTAGGAGAATCATTGGTGTTCTCAATGGAATTCGATTTTTAACAGATTGCAACTATTATTCATTTAATTGAAAATTACGACAGAGATTATGACGTCTCACAAATGACTGATCAAGAAAGAGCTTATTCCTTAATATTTTTCCGTTTGCCTTGCTCTTTAGCTTACAACTGAATACAGCAGCCAGATTGGAAACGAGTTTTATTCAAACAGTCAAGGTGACAGTTCCTGTACGGCAGTTGTGACGAACTATCGGAGACAAAGTCGTGATAAAAACCAAGGCTCTATCGGAAGATCTTCACTCTAGAGAAAAAAATCAATGCACGCCTGGGGGACAGTTAACAAATACTGACGTTGCGGTTCTTTGCTTGTCACCATCATTTGCGGGTAAGGCTTTGGCTAGCCAAAGGCTCTGATCTACTGATCTACTACTTAGAGTGTTTTTGGCTCATAATGGCTGTATTAATATTATTTATCATGAGGAAGAACTGCAGGGGGTGATGAACAGCAATCTCTTGTGGAAGTCTCCTATAAAGCGCCACAAGACTGAGCATGAGAGATAAGAATGGAGTGATCTTGCCAGTGATATAGGGAGGTTGAGTACATGCTCGACAAGAGCACTTTGATCAGTAAAACAATAAGAGTAAGATATGAATAAAAGCGCGCAATGCACGAGACCAATAAAGGATATATATGAACTCACGCGAGAAACCTGGATTTGTTTTTATGATAAATTCGTCATGTAAATGAGGCGTGAGCCAAAAAGCTGGGGAGCACTGGACAGCTGTTTCGACTTGGTTGGGTCTCACCAGCTGAGCGAATGCATCGACCCAACTGCGGATGGAACCCGGGATTTCACTGGTAGAATGTAAGCATACTACCCACTCGGCCACCGGGTAGCTGATCAGACCGCTTTTTTTCTATTTACACAATACAACAGAACCCATCTTCGGGAGCTTGTTACGGGCATCGGTCCTCGCTCGTCTCATTTCAGCACTAGACTCCGGGGTTCAAATTCGGTTGGAAACTTTCAAAACCTGATTATTTGTTGTGAGAGTAATGGGATCTAATGCTGAGACGAGCGAGGACTGATAATCGCAACGAGCTCGGAAAGATGGGTTGTACTGTATTGTGTAAATGGAAAATGAAAAGTGGTGTGATCAGCTTCTCGGTGACCGGGATGGTAGTATGCTTCCGTTCTACCTGTGGAATCCCGGGTTCCATCTCCAGTTCGACTGATGGGTTCGCACTGCTGATGAGATCAAACTTGATCGAAACAGCTCTCCGGTACTTCTCAGCTTTTCAGCTCACGCCTCATTTACACAACGAATTCATCATAAAAACATATCACTCTTCCAATATTCTCATAAAACCTGGATTTATAAAGCATCCTTCAATGACGACAACTAAGTATACACTAGATCGGAACTCACGGGGATCAAACGAAGCCCGTGTGTCCGGTTCGGGCAGGACAAGAGGAGCAAAGCTGACTGATAACAAATTGACTCGATCGAACACATCTTCCGACCGGCGAGTAAGTTTCACAAACTGCAAAAAGGAGCAAAGCAATAGAGTTGATCATGGCGTTTCTATACCTGGTGTGTTTTCACTCAAACCAGTGACTATGTATTTCCTCCACTTTTGAATTTATAAAAAGGAGAAGAATTGGCAAATACGAATAACACACCGATTTTTTATCCCTAAACCGAAGAACAACAGCGAAACGGAAACGAATCCGTGACGGTAGGCTACTGCTCACTTGTGTGCTGACAACCTAAACCCCGTGCACTTGTAGTGGAGAAAAACATAGGGGCGGGCTTAGTATCGAGTCGGACAACAGTAAGCTGACGCGGATCGGCTCATCTCCCAAAAACGTTTGAGCTAATTCCGAAGGTCACGGATGGTCGCCCTTTGGGTCCAGTCAAATATGCAACGTCGCCTGAAGGTCTGTCTTACTCCTTCTGTCTGCTACTTGGTTGGGGCTTAGGGGCATGCATTGTGGGGCGTATACGCGTGATTCTCGTTCAGTCACTAGGTCNGTTCCGGGTCATTAGTGTGCGGGCCTGTCCTATCGTGTGGTCCTTTGATTCGCAGTTCCGGACTGTCTGGTTGTTAATGTCATTCTTGGGTTACAACAGTTGAGATTATTCATTCTTTACTCTTATCAGTGTAAGGAAAACACGATTTTGAATTCTGTACAAGGTGAAGTATGATACAGGTCAACTACGGACTTAATTTACCACTAGAAATTTTAATCAAGACTCTTCCTGACTTTCTCAAACAGAATTGCTGGAAGGCCGTAGTTCACTTGCTCAAAAAACTTTTATTCTAGACGTCCAAATGCGAGCACAACAAGGAACATCAAAGTATCATTTTGAGGTAAATGTTCACTCTCTGATCGATTCGAATAGGTGTCACTCACCTTATCGCGAAGAGGAGCAATCATTATACCACCAACTTTTAACAGGCGGATAACGGCCAAAATCTGTGAAGCTGACTGGATACCGGCGCCCACATAGATTCGATCATACAAAGGCCATTGAACAAAGCTGGATTCGTTTTCTAAAAAACGGATTGTCGTATAAAGATATGAGTTTAGTTCAGTTTTAACAATCATTAACTATACACCTTTGTACACGAGTTTCGGCTACTGTATTCTGGCACCCTATTTGAACACAAAAGCAGAAGGGAGACTAGAATATTGAGATCACAGTCAAGAAAAGATAAAGAACTCGTGCAGATTAGGGTTGCAGACATAATGAATAGATACACGCGCACTACTGTTTAAGACACTCAGCCATATCACTGTCTCCAACCACTCATTACAATGATCCCGAGGTCAACATCCAGGAAGTCTAACGCAACCTATACGACCGACTATCCTAGTTAGGGTTCCCATACCGTCATGCCAAGTCTTAGTGTTTGACCATCCTTCACCTTGTTCCACCCACCACCTCCCTCGCGTGCCTATTTGGTCACATGTGCAACACATCCCGAACAAAGTAGTCCATGGCTGTCTAATGAGAATGTAATAAATAACTTGACAAACCATGCCCCCAAAGATAATGAATTGATCCACAAATTTACCAGTTCACAAAGAACCGCTTTGGTTGTTTGGGTAATGGTTCGGCAGATGTTATTCATTTACTGAATGCATGCAGAATGGACCTGTTACCCCACACGGCAAAGCCTTGGAGGCGCACTGTGTGTAGTTATGGTATCATCATTTATTTTTATTTTATTTTTTATTACGCACATTTGTGTGATGAACAGCAGACGGGGTAAACGCCATAGTTACGAAAACATGTTGTTCGGTGATGGAAACCGGCAATCTAAGCCCCGGGACTTAGAGTGGCGAAACATGTAAGACCCCACGAGGAGGCGTGGTATGGAACCGGACGGCAGCAAAGCTACCTACCACCAAATTTGGGTGTTGGTGGCGGGGCTCGAACCTCGGACCATATAGTTCAAAGCACATGAGCACATCCACCGGTTCCGCGTAAAAGTGAGTCGCATAATGGTGAAAATCGGATTGAAAATGTGCAAAAAACCTGATGGGAGACGGGCTCGACGGGGATCTCTCACCGGGAACAATTCTGCCACGTTGTAGTGCCAAGTTTTTTGAGTTCGACTACTAATAAGTCGAAAGCTCCAGTAAAGATGTTTATCATTTGCCTAAACCGGCGACCAAAATATAAAATCCAAACAGAATATATGCTCCTTTTCACTCAGTATAATTCTGTTTATTTCCTGGTTACCGAAGCCAAGCATTGCATTCCAGTATACAAGGAGAGGATTGAAGTCTACTGCCCAGCAAAGATAGTCTGATATCTTGAACGAGTGCTTAATTGGTGACTGACCTGAATGGATCTTAACCTCCGGAGGTGGCTCAACCGTAAACGACCAGGGGGCATCCATTGATCCACGTGGACCAACTGGTGAAACAGCGTTTTCACTCTCACTGGAATCGGAATTCTCTTCGTTTGCCTGTTGTGGTAAATTGGCCTGGTTGAGAGCACCTATGG